CTTAATCCCCTCTCAATCCCCTCCCAGTCCCCTCCCAGTCCTATCCCAGTCCATCCCAGTTCACCCCAATCCCATCTCATCCTATCCCAGTCGATCCCAATCCCCTCCCAGTCCATCCCAGTCCATCCCAGTCTCTCCCAGTCCCTCCCAGTCCATCCCAGTCCATCCCAGTCCCATCTCAATCCCCTCCCAGTCCATCCCAGTCTGTCCCAGCACATCCCAATCCTATCCCAGTTCACCCCAATCCCCTCCCAGTCCCTCCCAGTCCCATCCCAGTCCCTCCCACTCCAGCCCAATCCACTTAATCCCCTCCCAATCCCCTCCCAATCCATTCCCAGTCCGTCCCAGTGCTTCCCAATCCCCTCCCAGTCCCTCCCAATCCCCTCCCAGTTCACCCCAATCCCCTCCCAGTTCCATCCCAGTCCATCCCAGTCCCCCCCAATCCATTCCCAATCCCTCCCACTTCATCCCAATCCACTTAATCCCCTCCCAGTCTCTCCCAGTTCACCCCAATCCCCTCCCAGTCCATCCCAGTCCATCCCAGTCCATCCCAGTCCATCCCAGTCCATTCCAGTCCCATCTCAATCCCCTCCCAGTCCATTCCAGTCCATCCCAGTCCATCCCACTCCATTCCCAGTCCCTCCCACCCCAATCCCATCTCATCCCCTCCCAGTCCATTCCAGTCTCTCCCAGTCCTATCCCAGTCCCTCCCAGTTCACCCCAATCCCTTCCCAGTCCATCCCAATCGATCCCAATCCATTTCCAGTCCCTCCCACTCCATCCCAATCCCCTCCCAGTCCATCCCAGTCCATTCCAGTCCCTCCCAGTCCCTCCCAGTCCCTCCCAATCCCTCCCAGTCCTTCCCAGTCCATCCCAGTCCCCTCCCAATCCCCTCCCAGTCCATCCCAGTCTGTCCCAGTCCCTCCCAATCCATTCCCAGTCCCTCCCAATCCATTCCCAGTCCCTCCCAGTCCATCCCACTCCATCCCAGTCCCTCCCAGTCCATCCCAGTTCACCTCAATCCCATCCCAATCCCATCCCAATCCCTCCCAGTCCATTCCAGTCTCTCCCACTCCATCCCAATCCCTCCCAGTCTGTCCCAGTGCCCCCCAATCACATCCCAGTTCACCTCAATCCCCTCCCAGTCCCTCCCAATTCCCTTCCAGCCCCCTCCCGCTGCCTCCCTCGCTCCGTGGCCGCCTCCCCGTGGCTCCGTTGGCTCCCGTTCCGCGGCTCCGTCCCCTCCGACGCCGTCTCCAGCCCCAACCCTCGCTCAGTCCCTCCCAGTTCCCTCCCAGTCCATCCCAGTTCCCTCCCAGTCCCTCCCAGTCCCCCCCAATCCCATCCCAGTCCCTCCCAGTCCATCCCAGTTCCATCCCAGTCCATCCCAGTTCCTCCCACTTCATCCCAGTCCCTCCCACTCCATCCCAGTTCACCCCAATCCCATCTCATCCCCTCCCAGTCCATCCCAGTCCATCCCAGTTCACCCCAATCCTATCCCAGTCCCTCCCAGTTCACCCCAATCCCTTCCCAGTCCATCCCAATCGATCCCAATCCATTCCCAGTCCCTCCCAGTCCATCCCAATCCCATCCCAATCCCTTCCCAATCCCCTCCCAGTCCATTCCAGTCTCTCCCAGTCCCTCCCAGTCCCCTTCCAGTCCCTCCCACTCCATCCCACTCCATCCCAGTCCATCCCAATCCCATCCCAATCCCCTCCCAGTCCCTCCCAGTCCATCCCAGTTCACCCCAATCCCATCTCATCCTATCCCAGTCCATCCCAATCCCCTCCCAGTCCATCCCAGTCCATCCCAATCCCCTCCCAGTCCCTCCCAGTCCATCCCAATTCACTTCCAGCTCCCTCCCCGTCCCTCCCAGTTCACCCCAACCCCATCCCAGTCCATCCCAGTTCCTCCCACTCCATCCCAGTCCATCCCAATCCCCTCCCAGTCCATCCCAGTTCCTCCCACTCCATCCCAGTTCCCCCCCAATCCCCTCCCAGTCCATCCCAGTGCCCCCCAATCACATCCCAGTCCCTCCCACTCCATCCCAGTTCACCTCAATCCCCTCCCACTCCCTCCCAGTCCCTCCCAACCCCTCCCAGTCCCTCCCAGTTCACCTCAATCCCATTCCACTCCATCCCAATTCCCTTCCAGCCCGCTCCGTGGCCGCCTCCCCGTGGCTCCTCTGGCTCCCGTTCCGCGGCTCCGTCCCCTCCGACGCCGTCTCCAGCCCCAACCCTCGCTCCGTCCCTCCCAGTTCCCTCCCAGTCTGTCCCAGTTCGTCCCAGTCCCTCCCAGTCCCTCCCAGTCCATCCCAGTTCCATCCCAGTCCATCCCAGTTCCTCCCACTTCATCCCAGTCCCTCCCACTCCATCCCAGTTCACCTCAATCCCATCTCATCCCATCCCAGTCCCTCCCAGTTCACCCCAATCCCATCTCATCCCCTCCCAGTCCATCCCAGTCCCTCCCAGTTCACCCCAATCCCTTCCCAGTCCATCCCAATCGATCCCAATCCCTTCCCAGTCCATCCCAATCGATCCCAATCCATTCCCAGTCCCTTCCCAATCCCCTCCCAGTCCATCCCAGTCCATTCCAGTCTCTCCCAGTCCCTCCCAGTCCCTCCCAGTCCATCCCAGTTCACCCCAATCCTATCCCAGTCCCTCCCAATCCCTTCCCAGTCCATTCCAATCCCCTCCCACTCCATCCCAATCCACTTAATCCCCTCTCAATCCCCTCCCAGTCCCCTCCCAGTCCTATCCCAGTCCCTCCCAGTTCACCCCAATCCCATCTCATCCTATCCCAGTCCATCCCAATCCCCTCCCAGTCCATCCCAGTCCATTCCAGTCTCTCCCAGTCCCTCCCAGTCCATCCCAGTCCATCCCAGTCCCATCTCAATCCCCTCCCAGTCCATCCCAGTCTGTCCCAGCACATCCCAATCCTATCCCAGTTCACCCCAATCCCCTCCCAGTCCCATCCCAGTCCCTCCCACTCCAGCCCAATCCACTTAATCCCATCTCAATCCCCTCCCAATCCATTCCCAGTCCATCCCAGTCCCTCCCAATCCCCTCCCAGTTCACCCCAATCCCCTCCCAGTTCCATCCCAGTCCATCCCAGTCCCCCCCAATCCATTCCCAGTCCCTCCCACTTCATCCCAATCCACTTAATCCCCTCCCAGTCTCTCCCAGTTCACCCCAATCCCCTCCCAGTCTCTCCCAGTTCACCCCAATCCCCTCCCAGTCTCTCCCAGTTCACCCCAATCCCCTCCCAGTCTCTCCCAGTTCACCCCAATCCCCTCCCAGTCCCTCCCAGTCCCATCCCAGTCCCTCCCACTCCAGCCCAATCCACTTAATCCCCTCCCAATCCCCTCCCAATCCATTCCCAGTCCATCCCAGTCTGTCCCAATCCTATCCCAGTTCACCCCAATCCCATCTCATCCCCTCCCAGTCCATCCCAGTCCATCCCAGTTCACCCCAATCCTATCCCAGTCCCTCCCAGTTCACCCCAATCCATTCCCAGTCCATCCCAATCAATCCCAATCCATTCCCAGTCCCTTCCCAATCCCCTCCCAGTCCATCCCAGTCCCTCCCAGTCCCTCCCAGTCCATCCCAGTTCACCCCAATCCCATCCCAGTCCATCCCAGTCCCTTCCAGTCCATCCCAGTTTGTCCCAGTCCCTCCCAATCCATTCCCAGTCCATCCCAGTCTGTCCCAATCCTATCCCAGTTCACCCCAATCCCATCTCATCCCCTCCCAGTCCATCCCAGTACATCCCAGTTCACCCCAATCCCATCCCAGTCCATCCCAATCGATCCCAATCCATTCCCAGTCCATCCCAATCGATCCCAATCCATTCCCAGTCCATCCCAATCGATCCCAATCCATTCCCAGTCCATCCCAATCGATCCCAATCCATTCCCAGTCCCTTCCCAATCCCCTCCCAGTCCATTCCAGTCTCTCCCAGTCCCTCCCAGTCCCCTTCCAGTCCCTCCCACTCCATCCCAATCCATCCCAGTCCCTCCCAATCCCTTCCCAGTCCATCCCAGTCCATCCCAGTCCATCCCAGTCCATCCCAGTCCATCCCAATCCCATCCCAATCCCCTCCCAGTCCATCCCAGTCCCTCCCACTTCATCCGAATCCATCCCAATCCACTTAATCCCCTCCCAACCCCCTCCCAGTCCCTCCCAGTCCATCCCAATCCATCCCAGTTCACCCCAATCCCATCTCATCCTATCCCAGTCCATCCCAATCCCCTCCCAGTCCATCCCAGTCCATCCCAATTCACTTCCAGCTCCCTCCCAGTCCCTCCCAGTTCACCCCAACCCCATCCCAGTCCATCCCAGTTCCTCCCACTCCATCCCAGTCCATCCCAATCCCCTCCCAGTCCCTCCCAGTCCATCCCAGTCCATTCCAGTCCCTCCCAGTTTGTCCCAGTTCGTCCCAGTCTGTCCCAATCCTATCCCAGTTCACCCCACTCCCATCTCATCCCATCCCAGTCCATTCCAGTCTCTCCCAATCCATCCCAATCCCCTCCCAGTCCATCCCAGTTCACCCCAATCCCTTCCCAGTCCATCCCAATTCCTCCCACTCCATCCCAATCCACTTAATCCCCTCCCAGTCCCCTCCCAGTCCATTCCAGTCTCTCCCAGTCCCTCCCAGTCCCTCCCACTCCAGCCCAATCCACTGAATCCCCTCTCAATCCCCTCCCAGTCCCTCCCAGTCCATCCCAATCCCCTCCCAGTCCATCCCAGTTCGTCCCAGTCCCTCTCAATCCCCCCCCAATCCCATCCCAGTCCCTCCCAGTCCCTCCCAATTCCCTTCCAGCCCCCTCCCGCCGCCTCCCTCGCTCCGTGGCCGCCTCCCCGTGGCTCCATTGGGTCCCTTTCCGCGGCTCCGTCCCCTCCGACGCCGTCTCCAGCCCCAACCCTCGCTCAGTCCCTCCCAATCCCATCCCAGTCCATCCCAGTCTGTCCCAGTTCCTCCCAGTTCCTCCCAGTCCCTCCCAGTCCCTCCCAGTCCATCCCAGTCCCTCCCAGTCCCTCCCAATTCCCTTCCAGCCCCCTCCCGCCGCCTCCCTCGCTCCGTGGCCGCCTCCCCGTGGCTCCTTTGGCTCCCGTTCCGCGGCTCCGTCCCCTCCGACGCCGTCTCCAGCCCCAACCCTCGCTCCGGCCGCCCGGAGTTCGTTTGCTCCACGCGCGCCCACGGCTGCAACCTGGGCTCCTTCGACCCCTCCCGCGGCCCCTTCTGCTCCTACGCCTGGGCCGGGCGGGAGCTGCGCAGCTCCGACTTCCAGCTGCTCCTCAACCCCGCCGGCTTCGAGGCGCTGGCCTGGGCCGACGCCTCCTTCGGCTCGGCGCCGCCGGGCGCCGTCCAGGGCTGTCCCCGCAGCGATCTCTTGGTGGGCCGCAGCGCCGAGGGGCTGGGCAAGGTGTCCAAGGAGCAGCAGGCGCTGTTCGTGGCGGCGGAGGGCGAGGAGGTTTGGTACAAGTGGTACCAGGTGCTGGCGGTGCGCCAAGGCGCGCTCGGCGTCTCCATCGCCGACGTCGCCTACGAGGCCGCGGCGGCGCTGGAGAGCGCCGAGGACGCGGAGCTGGCCCAGGTGCTGGAGAGGAACGAAGGCTGCGGGGCGGCCTCCACGTGGGTGTCCCTGCACGAAGCCACCGAGGCCCGGCGGGGCTGGAGCGCGGAGCTGCCGGCGCTGGCGGCCGCTCGCGGCGTTCTCCACGCGGCCCCGGTGATTCTGGCGGAGCCGCGCGGGTGGGAGTTGGGGAACGTCAGCACCGTGCCCTGGGCGGGCGGCGCCGCCGTCACCGAGTTCGTGTCGCGGCTGCACCGCGTCCGGCAGGAGATCCCGGCGCACTCCGAGTGCTCCGTGGTTCTGCGAGGGCTCCGCAGGCGGATCCGGGTCCCGTTCCGGGCGCGGGTGACGCGGGAGTTCCGCTCGGGCCCCCCGCACCGCGTGGACATCGCGGGGACGGCGTGGAGCGAAGGCGTCACCGGGGTCCGCGCCGAGCTCGGGAGGTGCCGGAGGATGGAGGAGTTGGGGCCCTGCCCCGACTGAGGGTGAACGCCGGGAATTGGGATTTTTATCCCCAAAAAAACCCCAAAAATCTGCAGGAATGATGCTTGGCTTTGGCGCAGGGTTTTGGGGTTCTATGGAATAAAATTCATCCCAAAAAGCAGGAAAATGGTTCTGGTGAAGTTTCGTTTTTTGTCCCCAAAATTTCATCAGGAATTTGGGGGTAAACTCCTGGAATTCTGATTTTATCCCCAAAAGAAACCCCAATAATCAGCAGGAATGATGCTCGGCTTTGGCGCAGGGATTTGGGGTTTTGCAGAATAAAATTCATCCCAAAAAGCAAGAAAATGGTTCTGATGAAGTTTCGTTTTTTGTCCCCAAAATTGCATCAGGAAATTGGAGCTGAACCCCTGGAATTCTGATTTTCACCCCAAAAAAATCCCATAAATCTGCAGGAGGCCTCGGCTTTGGCGCAGGAGTTCAGGGTTCTATGGAATAAAATTCATCCCAAAAAGCAAGAAAATGGTGTTGGTGAAATTTCGTTTTTTCTTCCCAAAAATCCAGCGGGAAATTGGGTTTGAACCCCTGGAATTGGGATTTTTACCCCCCAAAAAAATCCCATAAATCTGCAGGAGGCCTCACCTTTGGCGCGGGGATTTCGGGTTTTGCGGAATAAAATTCATCCCAAAATGCAGGAAATGGGATTTTGAGTAAAATTTCATTTTTTCACACCAAAAATCTAGTGGGAAACTGGGGGTGAACCCCTGGAATTGGGATTTTCACCCCAAAAAAAATCCCATAAATCTGCAGGAGGCCTCGGCTTTGGCGCGGGGTTTCGGGGTTCTATGGAATAAAATTCATCCCAAAAAGCAGGAAATGGGATTTCGGGTAAAATTTAATTTTTTCACCCCAAAAATCCAGCGGGAAATTGGGTTTGAACCCCTGGAATTCTGAATTTCACCCCCCAAAAAAATCCCATAAATCCATGGGATCGCTCGGCTTTGGCGCAGGGATTTGGGGTTTTGCGGAATAAAATTCATCCCAAAATTCAGGAAAATGGTTCTGGTGAAATTTCGTTTTTTGTCTCCAAAATTTCATCAGGAAATTGGGTTTCAACCCCTGGAATTCTGATTTTTATCCCTAAAAAAAATCCCATAAATCCATGGGATCACTCGGCTTTGGTTTTTGGGATTTTTGGGATTTTGGGGTTTTTGGGGTTATTATGGCATAAAATTCACCCCAAAAAGCAGGAAAATGGTTCTGCTGAAATTTCCTTTTTTCACCCCAAAAATCCAGCGGGAAACTGGGGCTGAACCCCTGGAATTCTGATTTTTACCCCCCCAAAAAAATCCCATAAATCCATGGGATCGCTCAACTTTGGTTTTGGGATTTTTGGGGTTTTATGGCATAAAATTCATCCCAAAAAGCAGGAAAATGGTTCTGGTGAAATTTCGATTTTTCACCCCAAAAATCCATCAGGAATTTGGGGTTGAACCCCTGGAATTCTGATTTTTATCCCCCAAAAAAAATCCCATAAATCCATGGGATCGCTCGGCTTTGGTGTGGAATTTTTGGGATTTTTGGGGTTTTTATGGCATAAAATTCACCCCAAAATTCTGGAAATGGGGTTCTGGTGACATTTCATTTTTTCACCCCAAAAATCCAGCGGGAAATTGGGTTTGAACCCCTGGAATTCTGATTTTTACCCCCAAAAAAATCCCATAAATCCATGGGATCGCTCGGCTTCGGTTTGGGATTTTGGGGTTTTATGGCATAAAATTCATCCCAAAAAGCAGGAAAATGGTTCTGGTGAAATTTCGTTTTTTCACCCCAAAAATCCATCAGGAAATTGGGTTTGAACCCCTGAAATTGGGATTTTCACCCCAAAAAAATCCCATAAATCCATGGGATCGCTCGGCTTTGGTTTTGGGATTTTTGGGGGTTTTGCGGAATAAAATTCATCCCAAAAAGCAGGAAAATTGTTCTGGTGAAATTTCGTTTTTTCTTCCCAAAAATTCGGCAGGAAACTGGTCCTAAACACCTGGAATTGGGATTTTATCCGCCCAAAAAAATCCCATAAATCCATGGGATCGCTTGGCTTTGGTTTTGGGATTTTTGGGGTTTTTGTGGCATAAAATTCACCCCAAAATTCTGGTAAAATTTCATTTTTTCACCCCAAAAATCCATCAGGAAATTGGGTTTGAACCCCTGGAATTCTGATTTTTACCCCAAAAAAATCCCATAAATCCATGGGATCGCTCGGCTTTGGTTTTGGGATTTTTGGGGTTTTTGTGGTATAAAATTCACCCCAAAATTCTGGTAAAATTTCATTTTTTCACCCCAAAAATCCAGCGGGAAATTGGGGCTGAACCCCTGGAATTCTGATTTTTACCCCAAAAAAACCCACAAATCCATGTGATTTTTGGGATTTTTGGGGTTTTTATGGCATTAAATTCACCCCAAAATTCAGGAAAATGGTTCTGCTGAAATTTCACTTTTTCCCCCCAAAAATCCATCAGGAAATTGGGTTTGAACCCCTGGAATTGGGATTTTCACCCCCCAAAAAAATTTCCATAAATCCATGGGATCGCTCGGCTTTGGTTTTGGGATTTTTGGGGTTTTTGGGGTTTTTATGGCATAAAATTCACCCCAAAATTCAGGAAATTGGTTCTGGTGAAATTTCATTTTTTCTCCCCAAAAATCCAGCAGGAAACTGGGTCTGAACCCCTGGAATTCTGATTTTTATCCCCCCAAAAAAATCCCATAAATCCATGGGATTTTTGGGATTTTTGGGGTTTTTATGGCATAAAATTCACCCCAAAATTCAGGAAAATTGTTCTGGTGAAATTTCAATTTTTTCACCCCAAAAATCCAGTGGGAAATTGGGTTTGAACCCCTGGAATTCTGATTTTCACCCCAAAAAAAATCCCATAAATCCATGGGATCGCTCGGCTTTGGTTTTGGGATTTTTGGGGTTTTTATGGCATAAAATTCACCCCAAAATTCTGGTAAAATTTCATTTTTTCACCCCAAAAATCCAGCGGGAAATTGGGGTTGAACCCCTGGAATTCTGATTTTACCCCAAAAAAACCCCACAAATCTGTGGGATTTTTGGGATTTTTGGGGTTTTTATGGCATAAAATTCACCCCAAAATTCAGGAAATTGGTTCTGGTGAAATTTCATTTTTTCTCCCCAAAAATCCAGCAGGAAATTGGGTTTGAACCCCTGGAATTCTGATTTTCACCCCAAAAAAATCCCATAAATCCATGGGATCGCTTGGCTTTGGTTTCTGGGATTTTTGGGATTTTTGGGGTTTTTATGGAATAAAATTCACCCCAAAATTTGGGAAATTGGTTCTGGTGAAATTTCATTTTTTCAACCCAAAAATCCAGCGGGAAATTGGGGTTGAACCCCTGGAATTGGGATTTTTACCCCAAAAAAACCCCACAAATCCATGGGATTTTTGGGATTTTTTCGGATTTTTATGGCATAAAATTCACCCCAAAAATCAGGAAAATGGTTCTGGTGAAATTTCATTTTTTCTCCCCAAAAATCCATCAGGAAATTGGGGGTGAATCCCTGGAATTCTGATTTTTACCCCCAAAAAAATCCCATAAATCCATGGGATCGCTCGGCTTTGGTTTTGGGATTTTTGGGGTTTTTGGGGCATAAAATTCACCCCAAAATTCAGGAAAATGGTTCTGGTGAAATTTCATTTTTTCAACCCAAAAATCCAGCAGGAAACTGGGTTTGAACCCCTGGAATTCTGATTTTTACCCCCCCAAAAAAATCCCATAAATCCATGGGATCACTTGGCTTTGGTTTTGGGATTTTTGGGATTTTTGGGGTTTTTATGGCATAAAATTCACCCCAAAATGCATGAAAATGGTTCTGGTGAAATTTCATTTTTTCAACCCAAAAATCCAGTGGGAAATTGGGTTTGAACCCCTGGAATTGGGATTTTTACCCCAAAAAAACCCCACAAATCCGTAGGATTTTTGGGATTTTTGGGGTTTTTATGGCATAAAATTCACCCCAAAATTCAGGAAATTGGGGTTTCTGGTGAAATTTCATTTTTTCACCCCAAAAATCCATCAGGAAATTGGGGTTGAACCCCTGGAATTCTGATTTTATCCCCCAAAAAAACCCCCACAAATCCGTGGGATCGCTCGGCTTTGGTTTTGGGATTTTTGGGGTTTTTATGGCATAAAATTCATCCCAAAATTCTGGTAAAATTTCATTTTTTCACCCCAAAAATCCATCAGGAAATTGGGGTTGAACCCCTGAAATTCTGATTTTCACCCCAAAAAACCCCACAAATCCATGGGATTTTTGGGATTTTTGGGGTTTTATGGCATAAAATTCACCCCAAAATTCAGGAAAATGTTTCTGGTGAAATTTCATTTTTTCACCCCAAAAATCCAGTGGGAAACTGGGTTTGAACCCCTGAAATTCTGATTTTCCTCCCAAAAAAAACCCCCACAAATCTGTGGGATTTTTGGGATTTTTGGGGTTTTTTATGGCATAAAATTCATCCCAAAATTCAGGAAAATGGTTCTGGTGAAATTTCGTTTTTTGTCCCCAAAAATCCATCAGGAAATTGGGTTTGAACCCCTGGAATTGGGATTTTTACCCCCAAAAAAATCCCATAAATCCATGGGAACGCTCGGCTTTGGTTTTGGGATTTTTGGGGCTTTTATGGCATAAAATTCACCCCAAAATTCAGGAAAATTTCATTTTTTCACCCCAAAAATCCATCAGGAAATTGGGGCTGAACCCCTGGAATTCTGATTTTTTACCCCCAAAAAAATCCCATAAATCCATGGGATTTTTGGGATTTTGGGGTTTTTATGGCATAAAATTCACCCCAAAATACAGGAAAATGGTTCTGGTGAAATTTCATTTTTTCAACCCAAAAAATCCATCAGGAAATTGGGGTTGAACCCCTGGAATTGGGATTTTTACCCCAAAAAAACCCCACAAATCCATGGGATTTTTGGGATTTTTTCGGATTTTTATGGCATAAAATTCACCCCAAAATTCAGGAA